CCACACTTTTGAAATGAAAAAAGAAAGGGAAAGGAGCAAGTGTAGCATAAGCAGGAAAAGGAAGGGATGAAGTCATTAAACAATGAACATGGCAAAGAGCTCAGGTTTCAAGTGGGGCAGTTCATCTGCTGGGATGCAGAGGTACTGCTCTGAGGACCCTTAAGCCAACAGGCACCCTGCCCTGCCAGTATTTCTTACTTCCTCCCTGCCCTGGTGCTGCTTAGCTTTCTGTGCTATTGAGGTTTTTGTTTGTTTTTTTGTTTTTTGATTGGTCAGTTGGCATTGTAACACAATGCTGAGCACCTACAGTCTCATGTGAACACAAAATGTCCCCTAACTATCCAGGAACTGATTAAGAAGGCAGAGATAGAGGGTGACAGGTGGGGTGAACACTCACTCTCACTGCTGTATTTGGGCCTCTGCATTAAATGACTGATGAGCATGGGACAGAGTGAAGGACTACCCTGGAGCCAACCCCAACCTGCCTGCCTCCCCCTCATCTTTGCAAACCTTGTTTGTGTCATATTACAGCCAAAGTGTTTCTTGCACTGGGGCAAAGGGCTGACACTTTGGATGGCCTAGGAATCAATCCTGCTTACTGTGGAGTATTCCCATCGTCTCTGACTTGGGAAGAGCTCTGCCTCTGATGAACATTTGTTCCATTCTGGTGGAGAAGAGGTGTGAGGAAAGCCAAAGCTAGGAGCAGCATCCTAGGGATGAGGATGCTTCCGGGATAATGTCAGTAGCAGGGATCAACTGCAGAGGAGGATGGGAGCAGCTGTGGTGGGAGTTGGGGGTCAGAGTTGCGGGTGAGGAGAGCTGGGACAGACGATAGGAGCAGCAGGAGAAGCAACAGTGGAGTAATAGCAACTTCTTTTTTGGGAGTAGCAACAGAGGGTGAGTGAAGCAGTTTTGAGGAGAACAGGAACAGCAGGATCAGGCTTACTATGGGGAAGGACCCTTGGGGAAACTGGACAGTCTCCTTTCTGCTTGGGAGAGAATTTCAGAGAGTTTTAGGTCTAGCCCAGAATGTTGCTTTTGATCCCGGCAGCTTCCTGAAGGTTTTCCTACTCCATGGTGTCTGCACATCTCTGGCTATCAGGGGAAAGGAGAGCCTCTTTCTTCCCCACTCAGTGCTCTTCTGCTCTGCTCTGCTCTTAGCTGAGTGGAGGAAACAGTAAGGAACGAGGAAGAGAGTTCCTCCCTGCCCTGTTGCTGAGCTTTTTCTTGCTTTTCATTTTTGGCTGCTTGGCCATACATGGTAGGTGGGACCAGGAAAGCAAGTCTTCAATATGCACCTAAAAATAAGGACTGTTGGAATGTGTCTAATATCAGAGATCAGAGGATGCTACAGAATGAGTGTCACAAGACTAAATGCCCTGCTCTGAATGACTGCGCAGCAGACCTCAGGTACATGGGGCACCAGCATGAAGGCCTCTCGACATAATGTGAAAGATTAAATGGAAGATTTCGATATAATGCAGGAATGGGAAAGTGGTGGGATGGGGGCCACCTGCAACATCTGGGGGGCACAGCAGGTCCAGAAGTTCAAAGAAATGAGAAAAGAACTGACTTGGTTTTTCCCTGGTTCAGAAGAGGCATCAGAAGTTCTGAGGAAGGCCTAAAAAAGAGGGTGTCTCTCTGAAAACAAGGGATATGCCACACTGCCCATGTCTGATGCAATGGGTTTAGTTCCAAACCCACCATTCCAGCTGATGCATTTCTTTCTGGTTCCACACCAGCTGCTTGCTAAAGGAAGAGGGAGGGTATGAAGAATCAGACTATTTGAGCCTCTTGTGTTTTATAGGGACCTGATTCTCCACTCCAAGACACTCTCAGCTTATAAGGGTTTTGATCCTTTCAGCCAAAAAGTATCGATAAAGTACTGTATTAGAATTTCTGTGAAAGCTCCTAATTAATTTCCCTTTATTTGGTTACAGAAAGAGATGGACAAGCACATAATATCCTGGATGTGAATTTTTGAAAATTTAGTTGGAGTGTGTGTATCATGGAGCCAGCTTCCCTATTTTCAATGTTTCCCAGAGTACGGAGAAGGTATTTTATTTGGACAATGGGATGCCTTAAATACTTATTATTCAAGAATTGTGCTCTGAATTGTGCACTTCTATGCACACTTTCCTGGTAGTAAATCCTACTAAGCATGGTGGGGATTACCTCCAAGTAAACTTGCAAACGATGTACTATAAGATTATCAACTGAGAAGTGGGCATTAGTAGAGAAATAATCTGCCTTGAATTCAATTAAATTTAAATTCATTAAAGGTTGAAAAATGTCTC